TATCTACGTAACATAATCAGCAGGTGCGATTATGATTAGGTTAGTTATGTTCCTATATAATACAACATAATCGTAACTAACTAACTGATTATTGCCATCACTGCGTAAGGGATAAGGCTTTGCGCTTTCAGAGCTACTCGTTCCCAGTCCATAGTCTCCAGTTTTATCCGCCGTTTATCACCAAACATCTCGATAAGCCCATCCTGATGAGCAACCTGGATGAGCGCAACCCTACTTGTTGCCAGGAATTCGTCCTTCTCCCCGCCAGCTCCTCGGAGATACTCAACACCATTCCATTTCAGGATTTCGGCATAAATACGTCGTATCAAGGGACGGCGTCTTACGGGATCTGAATCCACAGGGCTTCCAAGGAGTTGTGCTGCGGCGTCCGCTGTATCAGCATGCAAGTATAGCTCCTTGGTGTCTCGGAAATGCTCGACCGGATATTCGACAATGGCACTCTCCGAGTCCACTTGTATTTTTTTGTCAGGTATTGAGAAGTGGGGATCGAAATGTTGAAAGCATGGCGAGACTTTGTTCAACCCCTTCCACACTCCTGGTCGAAGCGGGCATGCTGCTGCTGCTCCCTCGCGTATCCGCCTCGAGAGCTCGCGGCTCTGCACTTTTAGCTTCGAGAAACTTCCCTGAGGTCGTTCAGAACTGAATGTTCCTAGCACGCTCATCGTGAGTGCTTCGAACAACACACTCATAATTCGAGCGTAGGGACGAACGCCTTCGTTTTTGATGGCGGGTAATTGAAGTGCACACCTGAAGCAAGACTTGGCTCCCGGCTTTGCCATCTCAAAATGTACACCCAAAACATTGGGTTTACCCAAATCATATCGCGCCTTAAGCTCCATTAGTGAAAGCCATCCTTGCTTAGCATGGAACGCTATTCGCTCGGAGAACCCTGTCTGTGATGTTGCGCTTCCGGCGTAGGCACACCAATGGTCCGAGTGAATAAGGATCAGATATACGCCCAAGAGGCGAGGGGCATTTATCGGGTCTAAACCAGGAAGTTTTTCCATTAGCTCTGGTGAGATGAAATCTTGGCCAAAGATCAGCTGAACGGAATACGGGACGAATTTGGAGTGTGAAAATTCGGAGCAGGCGATCTCTGGACGCCCGGTCCGCATTCGCGACATGAAGTAGTACAAACTCTGATTGAGTTCGCACTTTGCCGCTTGTTTGCTGCTTTTCAGAGAAAGCATCTGCGCTGCTAACCGTTCTAGAGCAAAGCGTACTCGACGTCGGTATGTCACCACTGCTTCATGGCCCTCCATTTCGGGATTAGGTGCATCATCGGCATTCACGAGTCCACAGCGGGCGGCCGCTTCCATGATCTTCTCCAACTGTTCCTCGGTGAACTCATACTGCGTCCGCAATTCGCAGGTCATCTTCTGCTTGATCAGAGCTTTAACATAGGCATCACATGTTGCAAGAAATGTCGGGCAGATCCCCGATTGTACGAGCCCCGCTCTCAAGGCCAAATTGCGATCCCTGGAGGTTTAGATCGAGCGAGCGTACCCATATCGGGCTAAGTTTCGGTGGCCCATTCTTCTCATTCTTATCGAATGCCTGTTCGGAAAGGTCATCGTTAGCGTTATCGGCAAGGTGCTCGGCACTCTACTCGAGTTCTAAATCTTCCTCTTCAACAGTCAAGAGCTCCTGACTTTCTTCATCATCGATATCTTGGTCCTGGTTCTCGACGAAGATCTCATCCTCCTGGTGCTCGTCGTCATTCTCCTCGTTGCTGATCGGGGCTGGAGTTGCCCGAGGCTTTCGTTCCAATGTTGACAAACGCAAACTCGACACCGCGATGTGGGCTATAGTGTCTCGAACCATGACTTCATCGATTGGATGTTCGGGAAGACACAAAAGACGTGAGCCATTGAATTAAATTGATGAATACCCCAAAAGTGTTACAAGAGGGGAAACCGGTGACCTCAGGAGCAGGAGTGCCATATTCAAGACATTGACACCTGGAGTTTCGGAAGTTGTGATTGGGAGGTCAATGCAACTCACGACGAAGGAGCTTGTTTCATTGTCCGGGCTCTCATTATGAGCCAAAATGTTTTGTAAAAGTGACTCCAAGTCATTCTGGAATCGCTGCTTTCGTTGTTTGACAATAGTGATCGGGCAAGACTCTCGTCGAGCAACGGTCACAACGGCGACCACGTCCATAGTTGGCAGCCCAGGAGCGGTAAGGAGAAAGCAAATCCCTAACAGCTCAACCCCAAATTTTGTGGAAGTCGGCCTGAAGAAAACCGTCTTAAAGGTTTCCCAGATGCGAAAGTAGGGACCAAGTTCTGAAATGTTATTGGTTTCCAGCAGCCCTAGGGGAGCCAAAGCGGCATTCCTATTCAAAGGATGGTCGAAAATTCGATTGAGCGCGAAGTTGATCATTCTCGTAGTGAGTTACTTGTCCGGCAACAAGGAAGAAATGTCGTAGATGTCTACTAGATAGGTATTGCTTGCCTTATAGACATTGGACTGGAAGGCTTTTATCAAACAATTAACCTTTTCTTCTGTCCATGCCATAGTTCGCTTCGCTCTGGAGTGCTTTCCCCTCAACTGCCCTCTCAATTTCTCCGCGTCCGAGTCTAATGCTGAATCCCACCCTTCTTCATACTCCGAGACTACGTCCGAGTCCACGTCCGAGTCCGAGTCAGATTCTTCGTCAATCGCCGGGACCACAATGGGTTTTCTGATCCTCTGTGACCGTCTCAAGGAAGGCGGATGGTCGTTGGGCGGATAGTCGTTCTGGGGACTGGAGGTGCGCAGCAAAACGAGGAGCTTCTGAACTATTTCTGCGGGCGCTAAACTATTCTGACGCGCCTTTGAAAGGCAACCCATAGCCAAAGCCATGCGAAAAGCCCAGGATTCTGGCATACTCACGTCGAGGTCAAACTCGACGCTTACGGCGCTTGGAAATAGTTGACGGACCTGGGCCTGCATGCGCAGAATCCCAGCGTTGGCCGCCAGGCACGAAATTGGTTTCGAGTACCGCTCGTGCTGGTAATTAAGGTTTAGTGTTTCTGGTAGGAGCTTTGCCAAATAGCCATTTTCTCCCAAATTCGCCTCTCTTAAGTCCTCTCGACAGACGCCACCTCCCAGGCTTTCGAGAGGTAGTAGCTTTTTAGGGGAAACGCCAAGGCATATGAACCGGCTGCCGATCTGTTGACGCCAGAACAGGTGAAATACACTCCGGGTCTTTGGATCGTACATGCGGATAGCTCTTTCGAGAACTCGAGCCAAGTCCTTTACTTTGAAGCATGCAGCTCCAAAACCGCACCCCAAGCCCAGACCATCACTATCCTCACCTATACCTTCCTGATGCTCCTCAACCTCCTCGCCCTCCTAACCCTCCACCATCTCTCCGCCCTAACCACCCAGCCCCCTGCATCCCCTTCCACAACCGCACCCTTTTCCTCCCGCACCCAGACTTCGAGTCTTTCGCACCCGCGCACGACGAGCTCTGGGCGCGGCTCGACCCGCCGAACGGCGGCTTCTATGTCGAAGAGGTCGACGGCGGCCGCCACCCCTTCCACCGCCATGTTCCACCAGCTGCACTGCCTCACCATGCTGCGGCGCGCCGTCCAGGAGGCTGCTGCTGCGTGGGCGCTGAATGAGTCGACGGTGGTAAGGGGGGGTGCGGGAGTTGGATTTGGTGCATGCGGGGCATTGCGTTGATTATCTGCGGCAGGTATGTGCCGAGGGTATTATTTTACGGTTTAATGAGAGAGGGAGGGGGGAAGGAGGGGAGAGGAGGGGGAGGGGGGGGGGGGGGGGGGGGGGGGGGGGGGGGGGGGGGGGGGGGGGGGGGGAGGAGGAGAGAGGTGTGTGGATCTAGGGATCTGGGGATCCGGAGATCGGGGATCTGGGCTGATGCGTATCGTAGAGTATATTGTATGCGGAGGATGATACGATTGAGCCGCTGATTATAAAGGAGGCGGCGCTGGATATGATTACCGGTCATGATGTGCTGCATCAATGGAGGGATAGGGATGCGTGGAGAGGTTATCGGAGGAGTCCGGGTTTATTGATCCTGATGTGCATTCGAGACTGGTTTGAGGTTTGCGGCTGAGATCTGGGCTTTAGGGGCTGGCTGGGCTGATGGACAAGCTGTGCGGCCATGCCATAACGCGTTAAGAAGACGTGCAAAGGGGGTGCTGATAGGACATGGTTGTTCAATCCAGAATCCAATGGACAGTTGGGTGAGTTCATAAGCTCACAGATGTGAGGTGTTTAATTCCAGCCTGGTCCTGGAGTCGACGCGTTCGATGTCACCGTTTCCAATCCCACCTGGAGCTGCATTTGGCTCACTCATGAGTAACAGCGCACACAATTATGTCTGACCGCAGAAAGATCAAATTAGAGTGGCTTGTACCGGACAAGTTCTTCAACCCTTTACGCAAAGATAGCGAAGTAACTGCAGCCTATTTGATAGCCAGAGAAATCGGATTGAGGTGCAAATCTTTCATTCAATTTTGAGTGGGTTGTTGGCACAATTTGATCAATGAAGCTAAGCGTTGACGAAGTTGCTGTTGAAGATCTCACAATCTTGGCATCACGTGGTATTTGATCTTGTACGATTTTTAGGACATCCTGGCAAACGAAAGGAAGCAGGAAGACATAGAACATGATATATTTCCCAGAAAATTACTGTGTGTGTCTAAAATCGTCTGTTGTTTTTTACAGTCCTGGTATCACCATGAATATACCATCACGTGACCGTTACCCTAATGCAAATCACACGCTAAACTTAAATAGGCAGCACGAGTTAGTCTGGCTGGACCTGGACGAGGTGTAGACTCGGCTTCTCAGAGCAGCTTAAAGATCCTTTGAAATGAGCAGACATACAACGTAATAGTTACATTCCAGCTATGGAAATTGTTGACCGTACCCACTGAGAGTAGAGCAAAAATTTACCCCCAGCATTACGAACCTCACCTTTTCCTGCCAGGATAAACTACCTTAAGAAAAAAAACCAAAACGGCTTCCGTCGCCGGGAATCGAACCCGGGCCTTGCCGGCACTTGTTAAGTGTAAAAGCTCTGAGAGCGGCACTAGACATTATGAGAACGAAGTTGTGTATGGGAGATTTGGGGGTAATCACAATCCTAGCCCCTAGACCACAACGGACGGTAAATCGAGCTGATTTATGCATTCGCAAAATTTAGATTAATACATATTACTATAATATCTTGGCCCGATAGAGAATTTTTGCGTAGAGTTGTGTCAGCAAGAATATTTTGTCATGAAGAGTGCATGCCCGGGATAGCTACACAAGTTCACACCAATCATGTTTTCCATTGTCTAAAAATTGAACAAATATCCAACTTTCTACAACATAAAATGAGTATTGTATAACACCAAGAAAAAATTAACGTAAATGTCACTACCGCAGCTCAAACAGTTGTGCCGGCGTTTTTGTGTTATTCTGATACGCCATCGCCTCTCCATCCATCATGCCATGAATATAACATTCGCCAAGGAACTCATACCAATATTTGTCGTCCTCGCCGAGCAGCTTTTTGATCTTTTCGGCCAGTTCCTTTTCTCCTATACAATCATATACAGGTTCTAGTTCAGCTGTACTGTCGAGGACATCCTTCTCGCCAGCCTTAGCGTTACTACTGCGCAATGATTCTGCTCCGGACACCGACCCCGGCGTATCTTCCTCCATATCGGTTTCTTTCTGACTGCCCTGCACAGGTGCTAGCCCAGCGGCACTTGAGGGTTTTGGTGGTTTTCGTGGCTTTGGTGGCTTCATTGACGTTTGTGAAGATTTACTGTCGGTTTGGATTTCCTTTTCAGGTAATTCCTGGGAGGCGCCTACCAATGCAGAGTGCTTTGCAGATTCTAGTTGAAAGGTTTGCTTTGTGTGGTTATTGTTTTCAGAATCTTTGGTACGCTTTTCTTCTGAATGAGAGCCGTTCGCGGGCCCTGGCTCTGAAGAGGCGTGCTCTAACTTAACCTCCTCCGTCGGGTCTGATTTCGGATCTATAGACATAGTTAATGTCTTCGTCTTTCGCCGTTGTAGCAAGAATTTCTGCCAGTCATCCTTTCTTCGCTCTAGGGCTAATTTCTTCCGACGGCGAAAGAACTTCAATCCCGCCTCGAACTCAAGCCAATTTACCTTTGGTTCGTTCCACTCCTTTTCTTTTCCCTCTTTTTTTACCTTATCCCGCTTTGCCTTCTTCCAGTTTTCGTAGTGTTTCTTATTCTCAACAGCCACGCCTGCGGTTTCCCTAAAATACGGATCCTGTTTGATCTTCTCCCGCATTCCTTTCTTCCACTCTTCTGAGCCTTGTCCAACTTCATAAACCGCTCCTATATTTTCCCTATAGTACGTCTTCCGCATATTTATCTCCCATTTCTTCCCATCCTCTCTTTTTTCTCGAAATACTTTTATGCGTCTAGCATTCTCCTTCCACCGGTGAAACCACTCTGTCTTTCGATGGCGGATCTCATCTTCTATCTCCAAATCTATTTCCTCTGAAGTCTTCTCTTTGCTTTTCTTCAGAATCACTGGAACACTGCAGCCATATAGGATGCAGACCAAAAGATCCGGCTGAACATTGCTATTCGCTAGGCCTAAATTTCCACTTTCCGTTCTGATGAGAGATCGGTTCCAGATGACAGCTTGCACTCTCCGGCAGAACTGCGCGACAACAGAGCAACGCTCGTTGTTTATCAAGTCGGTGGTATTCACAGAGCCACTAGATAGCCCGCCTTTACTGAAAGATTCCTTGCAGGCACGGGCATAGTAGACTGGAGGATTCTTGCCATCTCGGCCGCGGTCAGCCACCAGGGTACGCCAGAATTCATCTGGAGGATCCGTATCAGGGGCGTTAGCCCAGCCACCAGCCTGAGACCACTCGCGAGGGATGGCCCCACCTTGAGAGAAAGGCTGCACTTCTGTGACAGTATCGAATACGAATCCCCTGACGTACATACTATAGTGCTTCGGTTTTGGGCGTTTTCTGAACTTTAGGGTTTTGAGGTCCACACGCTTGCTCTCGGCAGCGTTATAGTTTCTTTGGTTCGATGCTGGCAAGCCGACAAAAGTGTCGGCATTCTTTCGACCCATTTTCAATGTATGGATGCCTGCATGCGCATACATGGCATACGCCGCACCGGAAAGCTGAGGAATCCAGGAGGGTAATGGCACATCGTCTTCAAGCTTCTCGTCTTCTCCATCTTTTTTACTGTCTATCCCTTTCTTGCTGCCTTTGCTTTTCTTGGCCCCTTTCTTGTCGTTTTTACTTTTCTTAACTTCTTTGGCTGTCTTTTGAGTGGGTAAATTGCGCTTTGCTGATTTTTTCTTAGGCTCTGGCGCCCATGGTCGGCAGATAATGTCCAGTGCTCGGGTCGGATCGCCACGCTCAATGCAAAACTCAACAAAATCCTTGCAGACGTCGACATAAGGCTTTTCATACTCCACTTCGTATCTTTTTTGCTGTGTAAATACCTCAAGGACATCCTGAGTATGATCTAATACAAGGCGTGACTCTCCTTCTCCTTCGCTAGCAGATGGAGTGGTATCTTTCGCAATAGCAAGCAAGGCGTATATAGTGTCGTGCTCAACGCTGGCTTCAAAGATAGACAATCTTGAAACAAGGTACTCGAGACTTAAAAGGGGCTGTCTTTTGCTGAGCGGGACGGCACTGGACACAGCTCGAACTCCAGGATCAGGTTTAGGATCAGGTTTAAGACCAGATTTAGGCTTGGATACCGTTTCCAAGTCCGAATCAGCTTCAGAGCAGGGTTCAGCATCGGATTCAGCATCGGATTCAGCATCGGATTCAGCGTCAGATCCAGCTTCAGATCCGGAATTGGACTCGGAGTCGGACTCAGAATCGGATCCAAAGCCTACGAGACCATTAGTCTTATAGTCTCTGAACAGTATTCCCGTTGCCTCGACGAGTAGAGTCGCACCGAGAGCGGAAACATACTCGAACCAGCCGGGAACGTGGTAAAACTTAGGGTCCTTTTTCATAACCTCGGAAAGCCGGTGAGTTGCCGTTTCGACTTCGACAAATAGCTCTACGGCGACGGCAAACTTCCGCCAAGATATCCTGTCTGCGCCGCAGTATATAACAGCCTTGCGAGCTAGTGCGATCTCTTGAACTACCCAGCGCCTCGAAAACCATGGGCGCTGCATAAGATCAAGTAGTGCGCCCCATTTCTCGCTAGCCTGCTCGCTCTCGCATAACTCGTCAAAGTTTTGAAGTTGCAGGACTTCCTTTTTGATGAACCTCAAGGCCATTTGACTGGCTTTGTCGCCATCTCCAAGCCAGATGCATACGCAGTCAGCCCTACCATATATGTCTGACATCATTTCGACTTGATGATTTTTCTCTTGAAGTGTTTCTTGGTCGATGCACACGGCATCAATCCAGAGATAGCGATCTTTCTTTGGGTGTCTGAGAACTTTGAGTGCGTTAACGAGGTCACGCGAGACATATTTTGCGTATATTTGTCCATCTTTCCGAATATGGATATAGGAAGTTTGCTTGGCTGATCCCCAACACCACGACAAGGCTTCATACGGCTTAATTTTACTGTCCTTCATAAATTCCATAACAACCAGTGTGCATTCGATGTGAGGGTTTTCTGGATTGCTGGCAAGAAGATTCAGAAGTCGAATGTAGCCCCGCTTCGTGGGTAGTCGTTCGTAAGTCTTGGACTCGTATTTGGGTAGCGGTTTGTGCTTGCGTTCCTTGGGGATCCAGTGGTTGTGAGAGTCGGCCATGCCTGATCTGGCAGTGCCTGCTTCAAGGCTCCTTTGACACTCTTGGCAGCGGGTCATTGCTGCTACGGTAGAATGGTATGCATGAATTAGTGTGAGAAAAAAGGTGACGCAAATCAGAAGAAGGCAATTCATGTCATAAGTATGAACGAATGGTAATGCAGTATTTATTATTAGTTTTGAAGAGCCCCTAAATCGAAAGTAGTGGCCGAAAAAAGGAAGTATAGACTTCAGACCATTTTGAGCGCGAAACAATAACACACAATATGCAAAGAAATATATGTGGAGCGCGAAAACTTCAGTTTTGAGCAAGGCTGAAGTAATCATAATCAAATGAACCGGTTTTCCAACCACTCATAAAGCGTCTACCTATCTCATGTGGCGAGGCGCTGCTTTCAAAGCTGTATGAGGCTTAAAGGCCCTTGCGTATGTTTGGAAGAAGAACATGTGGCTTACACAACTCTTGCATAACTGACAGATGCGTCTAAACTCCTATTCTATCGAGCGACAAATCCGTCCTCTCAGGCGTCGGTTCAAACCGTCCTTCATCTGTTTAGATATAACTTTGGCGGGGGTCTTCAGCCCCAGCCAGCCGCATACGGAAGGTGGGTGTAGTGATGAATCTTCAGACTGGTCGGCTCTGGAGGAAAGAGCTTGCTCCGTGGTGAGCTGAACCACCAGCTGAAGGGGATGCGACGAAAGGAGCGAGGAGGCTACAGGGAAAAGCGACAGGCAATCGAAGATCTTGTGCGGCTGAGTCTCTGATGAAACGACAAGCTTTGCCAAAAGCTCTTGTTTTGTGTTGAGAACAAGGCTGAGCCTCAGCCTTGCTGATTTCCAAGCGTTATCTGAGCGTTTTCTACTAAGTATGCGCCCATCACTACTGACCCTGTCAGCTGAGTATAGCTCAGAGATAAGGGGTAGCTAGACAAAAAACCCAGCTCACATACAGGAAGGTTTAAGATAAAGTTATGAACCTGCAGGAATAGATAAGTGGTTATCCATGACGGATGCTTGGGCTGTCTAATTTATTACAAATTCCCGAAGTCTGAAGATCATCATTCTTAGCAGGAAATGGTCTCGGAATTGAGTCAGTTGGGTGATGAGAGAGGCCTAAAAGTAAGGCGTGAGTATATGATCAAACATTCATGCTCTGACGACGCCTGCGTTTGTGACAGAACTCTAAGGTCTTCTTAAACTTTTATAAGCTTCTTAGTAAATTTAATAGATGAAGGGATGATAAATGCCGCGCTTTGGTCCTTGATGATAAAGGCTTTAATGGATCATTAGCAGAGGAGGTATTGCCGCCGGTTCAAATATCTGTTAAGCCGCGCCGGAGCGACTACTCATAGCCCCTTCACCATATCATGATCTGCTAAGATCCCAA